AGATCCGGGATTATAGTCAGAAAAAGATTTAGGTAGGATATCAACTTTCAAAATTCTATTTGCTACTTTTTTAAAGATCCCTATCATGTAAATCCTTGAAAAAGTTTTGTGCCTTTCTGAAAAAAAGGTATATTCTCTTGTGGAGCCATTTTTATGCCTCCATTAGTCTACTGGCATTAAATTGTCCATCATTTCAAAGAATGTCTTTGGCAATTTATCCTGGGGGGGTGTCTGATCCTCTTAATAGATGTTCTATCCCAAAGTGGTGCAGTCACACCATTCTAATCCCCCACATAAGCCAACTTTCATATGAAAAAGGCAAGAGTTGGTCCATAAGATACTCAAAGAAATTGCTTTTCCCTCATTTGGCACATAAAAACCAATCATTATTGATTTTGTTCCATTAAATTCAATTTCCACCGTTACAAATCTTCCATATTCATCTGATCAATGTAGCCTAGGTTTAAATTGGGATTTTATATATATAACACCACTCGATTAATATTTTTTAGCTCAGCAGATATAAAATCCTCCCCATGTCTTTGTCCGATATGGTATAGGGTTTCCTGCCTGAGCAGGGGGTTGGACTACATGACCTCCAAGTCCCTTCCAACTCTATTATTATTATTATTATTATTATTATTATTATTATTATTATTATTATTATTATTATTATTATTATTACTATTATTACTATTATTACTATTATTACTATTATTACTATTATTACTATTATTATTATTTGTTAAATATTTTTGGTCTTGTTTTTAATATGTGTTTCTTGAAGACAGATTATATCATCATTAAGTTTTCTCAAATAGTGAAATACTTTTTTACGCTTTAGATGGGTTTTTTGAGAAGAGATTGGACAGCCATTTGTCTCTAACGGTACAGGGTCTCCTGCCCTGGGCAGAGCTTGGAAAAGAAGACCTCCAAGGTCTCTTCCAACCCCATTGTTCTATGTTCTATGATTGCTCTTGGTTATCTGCAACTGACAATAGGTCTGTAATTATACAATGGGAGCTGAACAATGTGGATAGTGCTGATATTCAGAGGTCTCCAGGGAAAGGTCATGGTTCCAGAGACTTAAATCTGGCCCTTCTTTCTTTGATGCCTACTTTCCAAGAAAAATAAGACTTTAATCCCAGTGCAACAATGCTGTAAGTGTATTTGAAATGGCTGCTGCCAGTTATAGAATATTGTGGTTTGGCAAGGAGCCACTTCATCCTCTTTGGAAATATCTTACTGACAGCTCATGAATGACAAATGAGACCTTGTTCTCCTTCTTTTTCTATTGACATTGTGATTCAGGAGGACTTTCAGCCTTCAAAGTCTGTGCCCACAAAAATATTTTCAGGTTAAGTTGCAAAAAGGAAGAATGATCCCAGTATGCTTTGAATCATCTGCAATAAATAGGTATGAGGAAGATGTATTCTTCTGTGTGGGGCTGCCCATCAGTCTGAGAAGACACATTTCCAGGGCCAAATCCTAGTTCGACTTAGACTTTCAGCTCCCAAACATCATTCAGCAAACTGCATTCCCAGATAAAATCTGGATTTCTGTGCTGTGTCCCACTAGAAAAAGATTCCATTCTTCACTGATAACTGAATAACAAATTGTGTTGTGGATGTGAGAATGGTAGAATAACATCCCAAAGTAAACCAAACCTTTCTTTTCTTTTTCCTTACGAAGGGAGCTCTATAATCCTGGAATCTGGGAACGTGAATGATTATGAAGTCGTGTATCCACAAAAAGTCACTGCATTGCCCAAAGGAGCAGTTCAGCAAAAGGTAAGAAAAAGATCTTTGTTTCATCAAGAAATTATTTCTTGTCAGCCCACAGAAATTTTGATATTCCTTTGCTGCCATCTAACGGTTATCTGAATTTTGGATTGCAATATATGTTCCTGATTGAATTATTTATTTATTAATTAAACAAATGTATATGGCCTCCCAATACACACAAAATTGAGGAGACTCCTGGCAATTTACAAACAGATTTTCCTAATATTAATAGGTTACTATAACTAATAAAGTGTTGGGAGACCCCTAGCCGTACAGTGAGGAGGGATCAAGTAGGGAATTAGCCATGAGTCGTTTCATAGCTGCAACAGATCCAGGAATGACATCCTCTCCCCTCCCCCCCCCAAGAAATTCCATTAAAGTTTATCTATCTGTTCTGAAGAGAAGGGAAGCAGTCTAGGGAGATTCCTGTATTATAGGCAGAATACAATAAAGTGCTTAATTTAAACTCTTCTTGTGTGGACCTGGTTACTTGTACCTAACATAAATTTACTGTTAATAGGTAACTTTGAGGGATTTCTTCTTCTGTTTTATGCTCTTGGATCATCCTTCATAAAAGCTGTGACAACTGTGAACCATGAGATTTCAAATTATCCTTTCTAGCTTCCCAGAATGCATCACTTTGAAATATAAAAGTTGTGTTTCTAGGTGAAGATGGTATAGTGGTTACAGCTCAAGATTAGTTCTAAGAACCAGATTCAAGTCTATCACTGGATGACTTTTGAGTCCGTCTTTCTGTCCCAGCTCAACCTCACTCATCAAGATGTTCAATTAGAGAATGAGATCTTGAACTTATGCATGAAAGTTAATTTAAGATCTTACAGTTCAAAGCACCAGATGAAATACTCTAAATCTAATAAATAATTTGGCTATGGCAAATTATTTATTAGATTTAAATTGATACAGGTGTAGAGTTATTAAGAGGGTACACATTTTATCTGCCTATTTTTTTTAAAAAATAAACCCTGAATTCTTTGCATTTCAGTATGAAGATGCCATGCAATATGAATTTAAGGTGAATGGAGAGCCAGTGGTCGTTCACCTGGAAAAAAATAAGTATGTTAACTCAGACTATTTTTCTTAACTTCATTTGGACAATGTGGAAAATGTATATTCCTGGACACAATAATTGCATTCCTTTGTTTGGAAATTAAAACTAAATTAAATGTTACTGTGTAGGAAAAATGGATATAGATATTGAGTATGTTAATTATATCTTACCTCAGAACTGAGAATTTTTTATTTCTGTTCTCCAATGGTACACTGCTGGACAATACCTGCCCTGTTCTAAAGGGCAGGAACCATGACAGAAAAGTCTCTTCTTCTGGATCCCACTAGCCGAAATTTCTTAGCAGAAGGATCCAGAAAAATACTAACTTGTGAAATGCTAAAATCTTAAGAAAAGCTGGGTGATTCAGGGAAGTTTTTATTTTTATTTTTTGAACAGGAGCTGAGCATTAGATAAGATTGTAAAATGCTATCAAATGCCAGGGAAAAGGCCAGCAGTAAAATCTAAATAAGGGCTTTAACTTCTTCACTGTATTAAACAGTTCCTTTGCAGAAGTGATTAGGGTATATATATTTTCCTATTATTTCCTAATCCCTGCCATGAGAAAGCTAAATGTCAGCATGTGTGTTTATTATTACAGGTTCTTGGCATGGATGAGATTTACCCTGATAAATGTTTTGTATTTGTCTTTCAAGGATTAGGACCATCTCCAAAAGGCAATGAAATGCCATCACCAGTCATAATGAAAATTTTGTAAACATAAAAGTGGACAGTGCCAGGTAAATTACATGGACAAGGCTATTCATGAGACAAAAGAGCTAAAATATGTTCTCTTCTTCTGTCAATTATCTTTTGATCCAAACTCAGCATCAAACTGAGATAAGAAAAGCATTAAAAGCAAGTATACATCATGCATACATTGTAATTCTGGTTTATCATTTATCCTCCCCTTGAAAAGAAAAGGCTAAATTCAGCATAAGATATGGCTTGGTGCTACTTTTATAGCTCTTCCCCTAAGAAACAGGCTTTGCAATTTTAATTGGTCTGGAGTTATTTCAAGAGAGGAGCGCTGGTGATGGTAAGGGCAGAAGTTCTGAAAGACAACAAGTTGGCCACCAAAGAGAGTTTCAAAGGCTCCCATACCTCCTTGTTTCTAAATGAAGAGATGGTTATTTTGCCCTTTGTCCTCTTGGAATGAAGCTGCTGTTTCTACTGTGGGCTTTCTTTCCCCCCAAAATTGCCAAACAGACTAATCAAAAGTAGATTTTCCTCTTTTCCTTTTCATTCACCAAAGATTTCTGCTTTGCCTTTAACAAGAGGGTGGGTAGTGCCCCTTTTTCCACACTCGTCTTTATTGTGCCTTCATAGATGTCTATCCCAGGTGGAGACAAAAGAAGAGATTATAAGGGAAAAGTGGGTCCTCTTAAGGCAATTGAAATGATCCACTCTGCTCTGTGATTCATCTCAAAGTTCCCCTTCAAATGGCCTTTATAGGATAACAAGGATCATGGAGATCTTATAGTCCAGCCCCTGCTCAAACAGGAGATCCTATACCATTTCAGACAAAGGGTTGTCCAATTTCTTCTGAAAAACTTTCCATCTTGGAGCATCCACAACTTCTGAAAGCAAGCCATTCCACTGATTAATTGTCCTCACTTTGGATGCATATTACCGCAGCTGACATTTGCATCAACATATAAATCTCTTGTTTCAAAAAATGGAGGAGTTGTTGAAGGAGTTGTATGAAGAGATAACAAATGTTCTTGAGTTCTCTACAAAGTGAGAATCTATTATGGCACAGAGGGGTTTTTTTCCCCCTTAGTGAAATCAGGGATCCCTTAGACAAATGCATTGACATGGATTCAGGCAATGTTAGCAATATTGAAAGGAGGCTAGATTGCTCCCAAAGTGCCTCTTACTCACAAAATACTGTAAAAACCAACTCTTGGCATTTAAGACCCCATGCACCAGAGGCCCCAAATTCAGTTGTATTAACAGGTGAGCCAGGAAAGGTCTGCTATGACCAATTAATCGCCTCCTTTGGGCTTTTTCTTTGGGGATGCCTTGAATGAACCCTTTCAGCTGTCATTTTTGGAGTGACATGCGCTAAGCCAGCTGGAAAACTGCCCTCCAGTAGTATTGTTACAACTCAGAATTTGTGCAAATCCTTTAGCAAACACCTTCTCATATGAGGGCACGAATGAAGCTGAAGGACTCATTCCTTGCTTCTCATAGTCAACAGAGGAAGAGCTCAGGTTGGCTTGAAAGCAGGAAGAGATTGCCTGTCTTCCAGCCAAATCCAGCCTCCAAAATGATCCAAGTTCTCTTGGTAACCATATGCTTAGCAGTTTTTCCTTATCAAGGTAAGATGTTCTCTTTGGTTCCCTTGTTCAGATTCTTACTGCTAAAAGACTATTGCACTCAACAGATTGCTATGTTGATGGGTTTGGTTTTGGGTTTTATTTTTGACAATTAACCACAATTTGCTCCACTTCAGTTTCTACAGATTTAGCAAAAGAATGCTCTCAAGGATCACATTTGTTCTATAGCTACATAAATGGTTTGTTGGTATTTTCTTAAATTTTGTCAAGCCACAAGAAGATCTTAAGTAAAATATAGAGCTACAGAGAGACAAATTAATGGAGGAGAGTGAGGTTGTTCAGCTGAGTAGCAGCTATGAGGAATGACCTCAATCCTTTTTTCTATTATGAGAGAAGAATTTAGAAATTTTAGATCAGACTCAGCATCAAACTGAGATAAGAAAAGCATTAAAAGTAGGTATACATTTGCTGAATCATGCATACATTATAATACCGGTTTATCATTTATCTTCTCCTTGAACAGAAAGGTTAATTTCAGCATAAGATGTGGCTTGGTGCTACTTTTATAGTTGCCTCCAGATTGGGTGAGATATATTTATTTATTTTTCTGATTATTCAAGCTCCAAAATGTTTCTTTTGCACCTGCCTAAAGAAATGTCTCCACTTAGACTTCCAGCTCCCAAACATGATTCAGCAAATTGCCTTCCCAGAGAAGGGGCGTTGTCTTACCTGAACGCCTTTTCTCAGTACGGAGATGGAGAATCCACCAATGGGTTTTCTTTGTCTGCCTGCTCTTGAGACCAAGTAGCCAAACTTGACACACCCCCTCTTTCCAGGAGATCCAGTCTTAACGAGGGTGAAAGTGACTGAAGATGGACGAGGTGTTGGCTCTCAAACCCCTACAGTGGCCTATCTGACTATAAGGGGTGGGTGTGGATTCTCCATCTCCGTACTGAGAAAAGGCATCAGGTAAGACAACGCCCCTTCTCCAGTACAGGAGATGGAGAATCCACCAATGGGACATACCAAAGCCTCACTGTCCCAATGGATGGGAAACAGATAAGGCCGGAATAGTGTCCCTGGGAACCACCTGCTGAAGGACCCTCCGCCCAAAGGAGGCGTCCGCTGAAGCAAAACGATCAATTTTGTAGTGGCGTATAAACGGGGAGGGTGAAGACCAGGTCACAGCCCTACAAACCTCCTCGATGGACGCCTGACCTGAAATGTCTTTCAAGAGCTGAGACAAAATTAAGACTGGATCTCCTGGAAAGAGGGGGTGTGTCAAGTTTGGCTACTTGGTCTCAAGAGCAGGCAGACAAAGAAAACCCATTGGTGGATTCTCAATCTCCTGTACTGGAGAAAATCTGGATTTCTGTGCTGTGTCCCACTAGAAAAAGATTCCATTCTTCACTGATAACTGAATAACAAATTGTGTTGTCGATGTGAAAATGGTAGAATAACATCTTTTCTTTTCTTTTTCTTTTCTTTTTTCTTACGAAGGGAGCTCTATAATCCTGGGATCTGGGAACGTGAATGATTATGAAGTAGTGTATCCACGAAAAGTCACTGCAGTGCCCAAAGGAGCAGTTCAGCCAAAGGTAAGAAAAAGATCTTTGTTTCATCAACAACTTATTTCTTGTCAGCCCATAGTAATTTCAATTTACAAACAGAATTTCATGTATAGGTTTTTGTTGTTGTTAATTGCGAAGTCGTGTCCGACTCATCGCGACCCCATGGACAACGTTCCTCCAGGTCTTCCTGTCCTCTACCATCTTCTGGAGTCCATTTAAGTTCACACCTACTGCTTCAATGACTCCATCCAGCCACCTCATTCTCTGTTGTCCCCTTCTTCTATTGCCCTCAATCTTTCCCAACATTAGGCTCTTCTCCAGTGAGTCCTTCCTTTTCATTAGGTGGCCAAAGTACTTGAGTTTCAACTTCAGGATCTGGCCTTCTAATGAGCAGTCGGGATTGATCTCTTCTAGGACTGACCGGTTTGAACGCCTTGCAGTCCAAGGGACTCGCAGGAGTCTTCTCCAGCTCCATAGTTCAAAGGCCTCAATTCTTTGTCGCTCAGCCTTTCTTATGGACCAACTTTCACAGCCATACATTGCAACTGGGAAAACCATGGCCTTGACGATACTATAACCTTGTATAGGTTAGTATAAGTAATAAAATGTTGAGAGACACCCAGCTGTACAGTGAGGAGGGATCAAGTAGAGAATTAGCCTTGAATCATTTCATAGCTGCAACAGATCCAGGACTGACATCCTTTCCCCTCCCCAAGAAATTCCATTAAAGTTTATCTATCTGTTCTGAAGAGAAGGGAAGCAGTCTAGGGAGATTCCTGTATTATAGGCAGAATACAGTAAAGTATTTAATGTAAACTCTGCATGTCTACATGCATCACTTAGAAATGTAAAAGATGTGTTTCTAGGGGAAGATGGTTTGGTGGTTACAACTCAAGATTAGTTCTAAGAACCAGATTCATGTCTATCACTGGATGACTTTTGAGTCAGTCTCTCTGTCCCAGCTCAACCTCATTCATCAAGATGTTCAATTAGAGAATGAGATCTTGAACTTATGCAGGAAAGTTAATTTAAGATCTTACAGTTCACATCACTGGATGATATACTCTAAATCTAATGAATAATTTGGCTATGGCAAATTATTCATTAGATTTAAATTGATACAGGTGTAGAGTTGTTAACAGGGTACACATTTTATTTGCCTATTTTTTTAAGAAGTAAAGCCTGAATTCTTTGCGCACAGTCACTCATGCTCTCGTCACCTCTCGCCTGGACTACTGTAATGCTCTCTACATGGGGCTCCCTTTGAGGAGCACCCGGAGACTCCAACTGGTCCAGAATGCGGCCGCGCGGGCGGTGTTGGGAGGGACTCGTCGCTCCCATATAACACCGCTGCTGCGCGAGCTGCACTGGTTACCAGTGGTCTTCCGGGTGCGCTTTAAGGTGTTAGTTACCACCTTTAAAGCGCTCCATGGCAT